AAAAAATTTGAGATAGACTCTTTTTGAATTGCCAAGCCTGAAGTCAAATTTGTGATCCTTCTGCCTTGCCCTCCCAGATTGCTGGATTATAGGTATATTCCACCATGCACTGCTGGTTATGTCTCTGAATATTTACAGAAGGCTTTTACTAGGAAACTTCCAATAATATGTTGTATCCATGCGAAAACTAAGCGATGAATTGTCAGAAACTTTGTGAGCTGGTTGATTTTGTGTTTGGAAGCTTGAAACCAATTATTTGTTTTCACTTGCACAGGTTTATATTCTTTATTTGCACTAAATTTTTTAAAGAAAAAAATAGTAAAAATAAACCATTAGAAATGATATGGAATTTCACTAAACAAAATAATAAGCATTCAACAATGTTTGTTAAATTACATAAAGTTGTCTTCAAATTAGTTGTTTAAGTCACCAGATATAAGCATGCAAAATTGGTCAAAAAGTTATAAGTAATTAAAAAGGAGAAGAAAAAAATTTAAGCATTAATTTGTTCTTTCAATAGACCAACAGAAATCAGCAGTACAATTCAATTATTCTGAGAGTATATCATGGAAATAGACAAGCACTGACAATTGAATTCTTTTGCAGTAAAAAACAAGTTGTCACATTCTATCAGTACACCACTAGGCAGCTGTGACCTCCTTATTGCACCTGGAGTTAAACTAGACCACTGAGGAGACACTCCCATGTATGTTGCATGTTGGACAGGAAGAAATAAGTTGCAAACTGTCACTCACAGAATATTCAACTTTAAGCCTAACAGCTCACCAGCTACAGTGGCCCACACCTATAATCCAAGACTGAGGCAGAAATATGCATATTTGAGGCCAGCTTCAGCTTTACAGTGAGTGTAAGTGTGGTTTGGACTACACAGTAATATCTTGTCTCTAAAATCCAACAACCAACAAAACCAAGCAGAAAATTCCCTACTAGTTTAGAAAAAGTTTTCATTAAAAGGCAATCTGATTCTGAAATGAGTAGATGACGGAGGTAGGGAATTTAGGAGTTGATAATACTTTAAATCCAGATAGATAGGCAAAGAGGCATTGGATTGCATTTTCTCCCCCTTTGGTAGTCCTGGAGATTGAACCTAGGAGCATACTACCACTGAGCTACAACCCTTACCCTTTTTATTTTTTATTTTGTCATAGGGCTTTGGTAAATTGTCCTGGCAGGACTCAAATTTGAGATCCTCCTGCCTCAGCCTACCTCAGTACTGGGATTACAAGTGTGTGCCACCAGTCCTGGCAGTAGTGAAAATTTCTAAGGTGAATAGCAGTTTCTGTATAAAGCTAGGGAAGATAAGAGTGGATAGATTCAGGCCCTGTAGACACACAGCATGAAGACATTTGATAGCCTACATTATACTGAGTATAAAATAGTTACACAAAACAGCAACTGTCCCCCAAGTTAACATTAGGTACAAATGCAAATGTTTCATAGTATGATGCAGGGAGTGGTTATCAGAATATGGAGATAGGCCAGTACCTCAGCATCATCTGAAAACTTAGCATAAGTATAAATCCAGGTTGGGCATGTTGGAAAACACCTGTCACCCCAGAACTCTATGAAGCTGAGGCAGGTGGTTCAGAAGTTTGAGCTCAGCCTTGGCAATTTAGTGACTAAGAAAGACCTTGCCTCAAAATAAAAAATAAAAAGGGTTGAGGATGTCCCTCAGTGTGAAGGCCTGACTTCAATTCCAGGTACAAAACAAAACAGGAAAAGAAAAGCAAGTAAGTCAGGTTCACAGGTTCCCTCTCCACACCTACAGCATCAGAAATCCTCCTGAACCATTCCAGCACACAGTACTGACACAAATATTTTAGAGTTCTTTACTTCTGTCTAATGAATGAATCTATTTTCAATTCTAACTCCAAACAGGAAGTGGCTCTGCTTGTAGAAGAGTTTCCAGCTCAAATGGGAAATGGTTGAAGAAGGTAGAGATATGGATCAAGACAACAATGGGGGTAGGCACGTATTTAGAAGCTTCTTTCAAAGATATTAGCCAAGCTGGCAGCTTGCGAAGACTACTGGAGCATCTAAACCTTCCTAAATTAACAGGGAAATATTTCATTTTGTTTATTGCTTTATTGATTGAGCTTTGAGCTAGAGTCACATTATGTAGTTCATTATTATTATTATTAATTATTATTATTTTTTGGCTGAACCAGGGATTGAACTCAGGCCCTTGCACTTGCCAGGCAAGCGTTTAGTCTACTGAGCTATCTCCCTGGCCCCTAAATTCAACTTTTTTTGTGGAACTGGGGATTGAGCGCAGGCTCTTGAGCTTGCCAGGGAAGTGCTTATTCCACTGAGCTATCTCCTCAGCCCTCAGTTTTTAATTCTGATATCAATTTGACGAGTGACAGAAGACAGCAGCCATTAAGCTCTCAGTCGCTGTGCTTCCCAGTGTCTGTGCTTGCTCTTCAGGGCACACTTCTTTCCTGCTGTTAATTGGCCCACTCTTGCTCTGCAGAGCATGTTTCTTTTAGTATCTTATTGTAACTGTAAAACCTTATTGCCTTCTGCACTTATTTTGTACAAGGCTTTGCTCAGAACAACAAAAACTTAGAATCTCTAAAAGGAGATTTTAGAACCCCAGAACTCAGAACATGGGGACAAGAGTGGTGTCAATTATATTATAAGTAGATATTTTGTTTTGCATTTTGTCTTCTTACTTTATGACATTTATTTCAGAGCACCTACACTGTACCACATACTATAGAATGTACCTCTGTAAATTGTCTTACTTATTAACATGTATGACAAATGAGGAAATGGAGACTCACAGAAGTATAGTAACTTGTCTTATAGTACACAACTAGTAAATTGTGACCATGGGATTCAAATCTAGACAGTTCGACTATTGAGTGCCACCAACTAACCAAAAGGTTCCACTGCTTCTCTTCAGTGAGGAGAGCATTATTCTGTAACAAATAAAGGCTTGGAGTTTGTTCCCACTGTAGCACATTGATTTTTGTCTTGTTAAGAAATTAACTTCTTTGGGGCCGGGGAGATGGCTCAGTAGGATAAGCGCTTGACTGGCAAATGCAAGGATCTGAGTTCAATCCCCGGTTCCGCCAAAAAAAAAAAAGAAAAAGAAAAAAAAAAGAAATTAAGTTCTTTTAAAATTTTCATAAACTTTCAAGCTAAAAGACCTCTTTATGTATCATGACATACCTGGACACTGGGCCCCATTGAGCTCCTGTGTCCAAGAGAGGCCATGAAGTGAGCTGCTCCTACATAGGACACTGCTGTAACTATGGTGACTGTACTACTCACTGCTGAGACTCAACATTGATGTTCAAATTCCCCCTTAGAATAGGACATACAAAGAGGGCTGCAGATGGTAAAGAAGTGTAGAGACTAGGGTGTTTACTTTGCCAGAAATGGACTACATGAGCTTGTATAAAATGAATTATTTTTCTAAAAAAGTTACTTTTTAAGTGACCTGGAAATGATGATTTTTTTTTCATTACATCTATGTATGGCCAGGTACACTGCTCTGCAGATGCTCATATATTTGTGGGAAAAAAGGGGGGAGGAAAAGAGTTGCAAAGAGTTGTGAAAGGAGAAAGAAAGACAGGAAGGAAGAAATTAATAAAGGTAAATTTATGTTTCAATGTTTTTTGCATAACACAAATGGTTGTGGAACTTGTGAAGTAACTGCTTAGATGTTAAGAGAAGGCAGTAAGTTTTCTAATTTTGTTTAGATGAGTACCACATGTAAATGTGAAGTAAAACATCTGGGAAATTTTTACTTAGATCCAGTCAGTCTTTTGTGGGCAGCATGGCATTAGCTTAGCTTTGTATGCTTGTCATTCTAAGAGTTACTAATTCATGCATGCGTATATTCATCTGTTAAACATTTACTGAGAGCCCATGTTGCTCCATACTGTAATAGGATCTGAGATTTAAAAACTGAATGACATAGAAAAACATAGTGATGGCTTCGCAACTCTTCGAATTTACTGGACAGTGAATTGTATAATTTACTAAAAAACTGTGAGTTGTATGACATATAAATTATATTTCAAAATTGCTTCAAATAAACTCAGATACAACTCCTCGGCATTACTCAAAACCAGGGTAAGGTGGCTAAAACTCAGCCAGGTAAGTAGAAGGGCGGCTTCATCTATACCCATAGTCTATAACAAAAACAAGTTCCCTGGTACAAGACACTTCAAGCAGAGGGGACAGGCTGAACCAACTCACGCAGGTAAGAAGTCGTGTGTGTGTGTGTGGGGGGGCCTTAGGTAGCAGAGGCCAGAGGGAGCCTGTAGAGATGGCCAGTCATTGGAGGGTTTTATTTAAACTGGAAAGGGAATATAATCTGTGATCATATTTGTTTTAGATAAACCACATCGACAATTATGACAGAATGTAAAGAACATTCAGGATTTTTCCCCCCAGAATATTTTATCATGAGTCTCAAAGCTGCTATTTTAAAACTAGATGTGTTTACATAAATGTCAAGTATGATATTTTGATTCAATTGACCCTCATGGCACAGTGTTGGGATGTCACGATTAATGTAAGATTAATATTTAACCAATGCTGGGTTTTAGACTGCGTTAAGAAGGGAGCTGGTTAGGGAGCGGGACACCCGCCCCTCGGCTCATCTGGGACCCGCCGGACTTCCCGGCCCTTCTCCCGCGAAGTGGCAGGTGACAGCTGAGCTGCAACCTCAGCCCACCTTCGTCCATCCTTGAAAAGTCCGTAACAAATTGGGAAGGCTCCCTCATAACCTCTTAAAATTCTTCTGAATGCATCTGCGTGATTAAACAAAATAAAAGAGGGAAGGATTAAAATAAATTACAGCGTCTCCAACAAGACAACCTGGCGGAACTACGGCCCCGAGTGTCGCGGCCGGCACGGAAGGCTGCGGTGACACCGCCACGCCTGCAGCGAAGCCTACCTCCGTCCGCCGGTTCCTTGTGCTCCTTCTAAATCCTTCCCCTTCCGCCAGTTCCGCGGCGGAACCTTCAATGCTTCGCAGTTGAAACGTGGGGCCAATTTCGCCGACACAATCCGAGATGGTTAACATGGCGGCGGCCGTCAGGTGCCTCGGCACGGGTAAGGTAGAGGTCTGTCCAATAGTTCTGGCTTGAGTTCTTGAGCTGCAGAGCGCCGGCCAGCGTGGGCTAGGCACTGGACAGCTGTAGGCGCTCCAAGCGCGTCGTGCGCTTTCTGCTTCCGAGTTTTCTGGCGGGTCATCGCTTCCTCAGAAGTCACCTTACAGAGGTTTCACTCGTTGTTGGACCCGGTCTTTCGAGGATGGCGTGCAGGTGGATTGCGTTGACCCCGCTCAGCTGCCTGCGGAAGGCAAGGCCCGGGTCCGACCTCTGCTCCTGAGAATGTGGGCAGTTTGATACGTTCGTAGAATTCGAGTCAGAGAGAGGTGTTATGTTCTAACTGGGTTGTGGCTGTAAACTTTGACAGTTTTAGAAGTGCCGCTTGGTGCTTTCCGCGGACGATTCCAGTTCTTCCAGAGGTTAGCTAATTTATACAATTCAGAGGCATATTCTGTAGTGTTTCTTGGTAGCAGCTTTTCAGGAATGAATGACGTCCACACTTGTGTCATTCAGCTAGAATGAGTCTTTTTGTGCAGTGTGTTTGTTGTTTTTTGCTTTTGTTTGTGTGTTCAAAGCACAAGGGTAGGGTCGGAGAGATAGCTTAGTAGAATAAGCCCTTCCATGGCAAGCTCAGGGGCCTGAGTTCAATCCCCGGTTCCGGGGGGCGGGGCGGGGCGGGGGGAAGCACAAGGGTATACTGTATGCTGTTAAGGAATTAAGGGAGGCCCTCAGGTGGAGGCTGCAACAGTAATGACCATTTTATACAGAAGGAAACGGATCCAGGTATATTGACCAAATGCATACCATACGTGACAGAAGGTCCAAAGCTGGTATGCCTCCCAAGCCACTGATGTTTTACGATGCTGGCGTTTGGAACTCATGCATGCTAGGCAAGCCTCTGCCACCGAGCCACACCCCCAGTCACTGATCTTTCCCCCGTCCCCCCTTAAAATACTACATCACAGTTTTCCTTATGCGCCTCATAAAAAGAAAGCTTAGTGTTAAGACCAATGTCCCTTACTTGGGATAGTAGTTGAAAATTTGGATTGGCAAGAGACCACAACAGATTTAATTTTATTTATATGTGTATTATATATTTATATATGTATTATGTATGTATGTTTGTTACTGAAGCAATTGATGGTATCATCTTCATGTATGGCAGAAAACCAGAAAGGGAATAGAAGGTTGTTATTACCTTCTTGCCACATTTTCGCTTCTTCCAGGATGCCTTTTCTTAATTTTTTTTTCCTATTTTTTTTGGGCGGAACCGGGGATTGAACTCAGGCCCTTGTGCTTGCCAGGGAAGCACTTATTCTACCGAGCCATCTCCCTGGCCCCTTTTTTTCCTATTTTACCTGTCATCCAATCTCTTCAGTTGTTTGATTCCTCTGCCTCTACTGAGTATTTCCTTGGACTGTCACAAAAGCTAGGATTACATAATTCATTCTCATCTTTTTGATATCTAAATTCACTCTTTTGGTGTAAATTTGTCCAGCCCCCACCTTTCCTCCTAGGAATTGAACCCAGGGTTTTAACACTGAAGTACAACTCCAGTCTTTTAAAATTTTTATTTATTTACTACTGAAATATAGCAATTTATTTATAAATGAGAGCAAATGAATAGTGAACAGTGCTTCAGAAATTGAAAAAAGGGAACACCAGTAGTACTAAATATACAGCCTTTTGTTTCTTTTTTTTTTGCGGAACTAGGGATTGAACTCAGGCTCTTGTGCTTGCCAGGTGTTTATTTTCTTGAGGTTCAGAGTTTCTGTGATTTAATTGTATAAAGATGAAAGCTCAAGAACAGGGAGATAGCTCAGCAGCATGAGCACCTGCTTGGCAAGTGCACAGTCCTGAGTTTGATCCTTGGTACCAAGAAAAAACAAAAAAGATGAAAGGTCAGTAAGCAACCTAAAAATATTTACCAAAAATATATCAATATTTAATAAACTATATAAAAAAGACAGTGAGATAAACATATGTATTTACAGAACTGTGTATCAGTCAAGCCAGATCCCTGCAGAGAGAATTTCTGGCAGAGCAGTCCTTGGTGAGATCACACATCCATCTACTTGTCCAGCTCAGTGAGACCTCCGCTTTCTGATGATTTCCTTCTCCTGTGAATGTGCTCCTATAGTTGTCTGCTTCTTACAGCAGACATTTACATTTTCCTCATCCACCAGCCATTGGTGGAGGCCTAGGACCATGAAGATGACTGATTCTACCCCTTCCTCAGGGAGAGTTTCCTGGTGGCCCTCTTCCATCATCATATCTGGAATCAGAATGAGTTTCTATGGCCTCTTTTTTCATATCTTGCTGAAGCAGAGTTTTGAAAAACAAAACCACAAACTTGGCTATTCCTCAGAAGAAATCTGTTCTTAGTGATAGTCTTCATAGCGAATGACTCCAACTGTCCAGCACTTGTCCATTCCAGGTGTAAACCATCTTCCCTCCCTCCTGGCTTCACAGCTGTGTGTCTGGCTGTTTTGAGACGGTCTTGCTAAGTCACTAAATTGTTAAGTTGCTTGTATGGGCCCAAACTTTGCCATCCTCTGCTTCCCAGAATGCTAGGATTATAGGCATTCATCCCCTTGGCTGCCTGTGAATTTGCCTGTTTAGTGAGCTCATCCATGTTTTGTGACCGTAACAATTGTCTGTATCTTAATGGCTGTCAAGTTTATATCTGCAGTTGGAACTTACCTCTTGAAGTTAGTCTTGCACTCATCTGCATGTTCTAGATCTCTACTTGGTTAGTTTATGGGCATTGCACGTTTAAAATCAAATTCGTTTTCAGAGCCTACAGTGTTCCTAATCTCATTTGATGGGAGCTCCACCCATTCAGTTGTCAGGTCAAAACTTGAGAAGATCTTTAACTCCTCTCTTTTCTCACGCTTCACATTAAGTAAAAAATCCTGTTATTGTCATCCTCAAATTAATGCAGATGCTGACTTTATACTGTCACATCCCACTTACCTTGTTCTAAGCTACCAACTATCTTTTCCCTTGTCCTAAGCTACCACCATCTTTACCTGGATTTCTCTGTGGTCAATGCTGATTATGTAGTAAAGTGTTCCTCTAAAAACTTAAATCATATGTTCCTGTGCTCAAAGCTCTGCAGAGCCTGTCCAGAGTCTTTAAATGGCTCACAGCTGTGTTATTCATTTTGTTAGTCACCATTGAATAGTTCATACTGGGCTAGTGTGCATTTACTGTGTCAAATACATATTAGATCAACCAGCCCTCCACTTTTCCCTTTTTCTGCTCCCTTCTTTCATTCTTCTCCCTTATTCCTTCCTTCCTCCTTTCTGAGCACTGAGGCATAGCCCCATTGCTTTTTTTTTATTTTGGCACAGGGCCTAAGTTGCCCAGAGTAGGTTCAAACTTGTAATTCTTATGGCCTCCTATCTCAGCTTCCCATAAATTTTTATTTTTAGTATGTGTTATTTTTCCTCTTATTTGCATTTATTTTAGCTGAGTTTATTCTTGTACCTAAGGTTTTGTTTCTTCAGGGACATTTTTTCTTTGTTGCAACCTCTTTTTGTGGTTCAGGAACTATTTGTTTCTTTGCAGGGTAGATCATGTTAATATGGCAGCAAGACTCATGTGTGGGTGGGTTAACCTGGCCATGAGCTAAGTAAACATGCTTTGTTCACCTGGATATCAGAATATTGATATGTAAATCCTTAAGTTCAGCAGAACTCTACATTTTTAAGGTTGGGCTGTAAAAATTCATCATTTTTTGGAACAAACCCCCTCTCTGTTTAGCCTCATTGTTTAGCATGAGCGACAATCAGCTCTTCCATTTGTAAGACCAGAATGGTATGCATTGCTCATTTAAAAGTAACATCTTTTAGGTACTTGATGGCTTTTTGCATATACAGATCCTTTATGGTGTATAGTTTCACAGGTGTTTTTAAGGTGAAGCTTTGAATCTCTTGGTTTTGTGAGATTTTCTGGGTCAAGAGAGTAGTGAGCCAATCTTCCACATCACCTTAGGATACTTATAGGTAGAGCAATATTACTCTTTTTTAATTCACCCATAATAACTAAGAATTTGTATCCTGTACAGATACAAATTCCCTATGAGAAATGTGATTATTATATACCAATAGACTAAATTTTAAAAATTGACCTATGATGTACACATTCATAGGTACAATGTAACCTATTAACTCTGTAATGATGAGATCAGAGTAATTGGCTTGCTATCTGAGTCATTTGTCATTTCTTTGTGTGTGTGTGTGTGTGTGTGTGTGTGTGTGTGTGTGTTTTAGTAAGGGTCTACAGGGTCTACAGAGTCTCACTACGTAGATCAGACTCGTAGTGATCCCCCTGTGTTCAGCCTCCCAAAGAGCTGGGATTACAGGCATGTACCACCATGCCCAGTCTCAATGGCTGTTTTAGTGCACCCCAGGGGCGGGGCCCACACAGCAGGCAGGGGTTTGAACCCTAGCTGCTGTGTCTGCCTAAGCAGGCACTTTAATCTGCTGAGCTATTTGGCCAGCCCTTGTCATTTGTTTGTGTTGGAGGGAACACTCAAGATCACTTTACTAGTTATTTAAAAATATACAATTAATTGTTGTTAACAGTTACCCTATTATACTATATAGAACATTTGCAGTTATTACTTTGCTTCGGAAGCACACTTGTATGTATTAGCTATTCTCTTTCTGGCCTCTTTCTTTTCCCAACTCATCCCAGCCTCTGGTTACCATTCTTCTACTCACTACTATGAAATCGACTTTCTAAAATTCTGTTTCTAAGAACGTGTAGAAATACAAAATAGATTTTATTATTATTTTTATTTTAGGGAAGGGTCTACAGGGTGTTCAGGGTCTCACTAGATCTGACTTGTAGTGATCCGCCTGTTTACAGCCTCCCAAGAGCTGGGATTACAGGCATGCACCACCACGCCCAGTCTCCATAGCTGTCTCAGCGCACCCCAGAGGCGGGGCCAGCACAGCAGGCCAGGGGATCGAACCCAGCCCCTGTGCTTGC